GGAAAAAATATGCAAATTTTTTTATTTTGAAAAATTTTCGTAGTAGAACGAGCACTATGAAATGTTTCTCTGAATAAATAAACATTTTTGAATATCTTAGGAGACCTACTGCAGAAACACACAACAGATATTTTAAGCATAATTTATGACTTTTTCATCAACATTTGAAACAACTGAATAATTAAAAGAAGGGAAGGAGTCTAATGTGTGTAACATGTATGTCAAAGTATTAAGTTCATTAACATCAAGAAATTTATTATCATTTTGGTGGTTTCAAGTGTTCGAGAAGAATTGTAACAAGAATCCTTGTTAAAGATCTAGAGATCTAGCTGGAGGCAACGTTACTGACTAAAAAGCCTAGGCTCAAAGGAGAGTCTTATATTCTTATCTTGTTTTCTTTCTAGTGTGGGACTTAGATGCTCTCCTTCAATAAAGATTCAGTGCATTTTCTGTGTACATAAAAATTTAAGTAAGATATATAAAAAATAAAATATTTATTTGTGTTCTCTTTTGTGTCAGTTATTAAAAATATATGTGGGAATGCTGTCCATTATATCTCCCAGATCTCTCCCTATGGTTTCCAGTGAGGAACAATTTATCTGAGACTAAGATAAGGAATAAGTTTGTATTCATTGTTACCTTATAAGCCTTGAGTAACTTTTTATATTTCTCTCATCACTCTGCCTCTCAGGAAACTTAAGGCTAAATTTTATAGTGAAATGCAACAGCTGCATTTCCCTCCTATTTGTCATGCCAAATTTTATCTCTTTTCCAAATTTGATTTGTCCCTTGTCCTCCTCTCCTCCTCCAAATTTTTTAAACTTAATTTTATTGTCATGGTTTTATAAGCTACTTTAAATTATTTTTCTCTGTTAAGGAGATAAATGAGTAACGAACTCACACCAGCATCAATCAAGTACGCATGTGGGTTCCCATAAAGAAATTAGTTTTCTGCTCTGTTGGTACTCTTCTCCTTATGAGCCAAATGAACTCCTGCTTATTCTTCACGGCTGAACTCAAGAGTCCCCAGGAAGCAGAGTCCATCATTTTACAGTAGCACCATCCTTGCTTCTGTGGATTCACCCATCATACAGCATCTTTCTGCTTGCATCTGCCTCTTCTCACAGATTGTCAGGCTCTTTTGAGCAATATTATGGTAGCTTCTCAGGTGGCTCAGATGGAAAAGAACCTGCCTGCAATATGGGAGACCCAGGTTTGATTCCTGGGTTGGGAAGATCTCCTTGAGACGGAAATGGCAACCCACTCCAGTATTTTTGCCTGGAGAATTCCATAGCCCACAGAAGAGCCTGGTGGGCTATAGTCCATAGGGTCGCCAGGAGTCAGACATGACTGAGTGACTAAAACCGCAACATGTCCAATATCTAGTCTTCATGATCCTTTTAAAGCCCAACACCAAGCAAAGAGTATATATTAATCATTGTGTGTAGATGAGACAAACCAATTAATGAATTTGAAAACTATAAAAAAATATGGTACCTTGGAAGGCTTATGAGGATAGTGAATACATCGGTGAGTAAGCTTCCACTGTGTTTCCTCCATGAAACCAACACCATGCTCTGTGCTATTAGTGAGGGGATGGGCAAGAGGAACATTCATCAAGGAGATGAAACTCCATTGTGTGATACATTCAAGGAGTTTACCGTGCTGAGAAGAATAAGACTAACCTGGGTTTGAGTGAATTGGATAATTTTTAAGACTTGAAATAGTCTTAACAATATTCATCAGAGCCTTCATTCAGAATAGAATGGCAGAACAGAGTAAGCAATGATATGAAAACAAAACAATGAACACGGTTTATCCAAGGAATGATGAGAAAGCCTGTTGAAAAAACTTAAAGGTGAGTGATAATAAAATGAGAGTGCATAATGTGTTTAAATCAGTGATTGTGTGGGAGAATAGAAAGAAGGAACTGGATTATATGAGAGTCTCAAGATTCATATAGAGTGATATTTGATATGCATAAAAAGTATAGTTCATTTTTGAACAAGAGGGTGGCTTAATGAAAAGTAGATTCATTTGGCAGTAGTAAAAATAATAAATTAGACCAGTGTGAAACAGAAGTAGGGTGATTTTACAGGTAACAGTAGAAATCCTGATATGGGAAAGGAAAGGTCTAGACTAAAATGCTTATTGGTAGAAGCATAAGCTTCTATCTGGAAAAACATTTCAAGGCAAGAATCTTGAGCTTTGGTAGATGAAAAGTGGTATGCGGGTCATGAGCCACAGTTTCTTAATTAGAAATAAAAACCTTACCATACCAATATTGAGAATTAATAAACATAATACATGCTATGCTAGTGTAGATCTTTAAAACTGTCAATCAGTAGAGAGAATTAATTCCCATGGGATGGGATGTATGATGATATATGACAATACTAGACATTGGCTTTTTCCTGCAATAGTTCAACACAGAGAATAATTCAAGCTCATCATTATTTTAATGTTGATGATTTGTAAAGACGTGGTTTTTAGACTTTGCAAATGATTATAGCAGAATTATTAATCTATGCATAACATTGCAACCCAGGAAAAGGTTTGTAATAATTTGGTAGGACTGACATAAGAAAATACCATTGAGTGAGTGGCTTCAACTACAGAAATCTATGTTCTCACAGTTCTTGGGGCTAGAAGTCCAAGATTAAAGTGTTAGCAGGTTTAGTTTTGAGACCTCTCTTCTTAGCTTCAGATGACCTCATTATGTCACAATGACCTTTTTCCTTGTACCTGCACTCCTGTGTTCTTTTCCTCTTCCCCAAGGAAACCAGGCCTATTGGATTAGGGCCCCATATTATTGGCCTCATTTTTTACTTAATCACCTGTTTAAGGACTCTTTCTCCAAATATGGTTAAATTCTGCTATACCACAGTTGAGGCTTCAGTGTTCGAATTTTTGTTGTTGTTCAGTTGCTCAGCTGTGTCTGCCTCTTTTGCAACTCCATGTGCTGTGGCCCATCAGGCTCCTCTGCCCATGGAATTTTCCAGGCAAGAATACTGGAGTGGTTTGCCATTTCATTTTCCAGGGGATTTTCCCGACCCAGGGATCAAAGCTGCATCTCCTGTGTCTCGTGCTTTGCCAAGTGGATTCACTACCACTGAGGCACCAGGGAAGCCGTATGAATTCTGGGGTAACACAGTTAAGCCAATAACATCCTGCCTTTAAAATTCTTAGTCTTCTCATGTGCAAAAGACATTCACTTGATCCCCAAAGTCTTAACCCATTCCTGCATCAACTCCAAGTCGGTATCTCACCTAAATACCACCTAAATCAAGGGTGGGTGAAACTCAAGGAATGATTTTTCCTGAGACAGAAATCCTCTCCATCTGTGGATCTGCAAAACCTAAGAAGTCATCTGCTTCCAATAATGGTGGCATCTACATAGGATAAGCATTCCCATTCCCAAAGGGGGCAATCAGAGAGGAGAAAGGGGTCACAAGTTCGAGCAAGTCCAAAACCTGGCAGGGCAAATGTCATAAGATTCTAAGTCTTGAGAATAACCTTCTTTGGTGCAACGCTCTGTTCTCTGTGTCCACTGGGGTGACACACCCACCTTCTGGGCCCATTTTGGTGGCATCATTGCCCCCTTGTCCTGGGCAGTGGTCTGACCTGTTGGAAACAAGGAGGTGGCCCCAAGCTCCGAAATCTAGGAGGAAATGGCTTTGCCCACCCCCAGACCTGTGGTGGTGGGGGCAGCCCGGCTGATTTCTAAATCACCTTTGGGGTCACTTCCCCCCACCCCCCTTTTTTTTGGAAGGATATTACTTGTGTGCAGCTGGATAGCCTTAATATCCTGTTATCTAGAATCCAAGATGCCCAGAAGCCTGCCTTCATTCTGGCCCCCCTTTGCCCTCTGTGGTCCAAGCTGGTGGTGTTTATGCTGGTCTAACCTCTCTCTGCTCCTGGCTTCTGCTGAGACCACTGTTTAGAATCATGACCCACACTCACAATCTCTTCATGGAGTGATTGTCTAGCCGCACCATTCATGCTCTCTCTAGAGCTTTCTGAATATTTTTGCAATATAGTCAGGCTGAGAATGTTCTGGTTCTTTCATTCTTTTTCTTGTCTTTTTTTTTTTTTAATTGGAGGAAAATTGATTTACAAAATTATGTTGGCCTCTGCCATACATCGACATGAATCAGCCATAGGTTTACACATGGCCCCTCCCTCTTGAACCTCTCTCCCACCTCCCACCCCACCTCTCTCTTCTAGACTGTCACAGAGCCCCCTGTTATCACACAGCAAATTCCCGCTTGCTATCTGTTTTACATATGGTAATACTATTCTCAATTCAAGTCTGGTTCTTTTCCTTAACAATTCCTCCTTCATTTTATCTCTCTCCTTTCACTTTTTACTGTAAGCAGCAAGGAGAAACCAGATGCACCTTCAATTCTTTGCTTAGAATTCTCTTCAGCTTAATATCTGATGCCATCATTCACAAGTTCTGCCTTCCACAAAACAATGGAACACAATTCAGCCGAGTTCTCTGCTGCTTTATAACAAAGGTAATGTCTTCTCCAGTTTCCAACGATATGTTCCTGATTTCTGTCAGAAACCCGATGAGAATCACTTTGCACATCCATATTCCTGCCAACGGTCTCTTCAAGGCAATCTAGGCTTTTTCCAACACGCATCTCATTCTTCTAGCCTCTGCCGATTACCCAGTTCCAAAATCGTTTCCACACATTCAGGTTTTTGTTACATAGCATACCAGTTACACTACAGTTGTAAGTAAATGGGTGTCTTCCCAGTACATGGGTAGCTTAAAGAACAGAAAATTTATATTCTCACAGGTCTGGAGATTCAAAGTCCAAGATGAGGGTGTTGCAGGTTTGTTTTTTCCTGAGGCCTCTCTCTTTGGCTTCCAGTTGGCCTTCTGTGTCTTCACAGAGCACTTTCTGTGAGCACCCAAACCACTGGTATGTCTTACTTTTTTACAAAGACACCAGTCCTATTGCGTTAGAGTCAACCCCAGTCCCCTCCTTTTAACTTAATAGCCTCTTTAAGAATACAAGAGCTTCTGAAGTCAGAGAATATGTCAAATCAAAGCCACAATTAGGACTACAAATTTTTTGAATCCGCCCCAATCTTTCACTTTTGGACCTCTGATGTTCTTTCAGAGACTGAGATTGTTTAAGGTTATGATGAACTAGAAAGAAGAAACAGAAAACCAAATATATCAAGTTGTACACATTAAATATTTATCACTTAAAAAATTAACTAGATGAAAGGAATCCTTGGGCATATATGTCAAATCATCATTGATATGTACACATGTATCAAAACTCATGATGTATATTTTAAGTATCTTACAGTTTTATTTGTCAATTATACATCAATAAAGCTGAGAAATTAATACCTAAAACAAACAGACTAAAAACCTTTCTACAAATGTGGTTGCATTCTGAGGTACTAGGGAAAGGGATGTCAGCATATTAATTTTCAGGGAACACAATACATCCCATAATAGGATTTACACTGTATATTTTCAACACAATAGTCTGTTTCATTTCTTTTTTTATTTCCAATGTGTGCTAAATGCTTCTTCATATGATATAAAATTGTTTTCAGAAACCCAAAGGACCTCAAAATATATGCTAATGTTACCCAACTAAAGTTGTTCTTTTTCCTTCTCTGTGATCACTTATTTGAGTCTCCTGAGTTTAAACATTTTTTACCTCCATATTAGTGCACATTTTATCCTCTTTCTTATAGTAACAAAAAATGATCCCAAATTAATTTTTTTAGATTATAAACATATTCCCTTTAACTATTTATACTTTTTCAGTGTATCTGTTTTTAATTGAAGGATAATTGCTTTATAATAGTGTATTGGTTTCTGCCATACATTAACATGAATCAGCCATAGGTATATAACCTATGTCCCCTCCCTTTTGAAAGTCCCTCCCACCCCATCCCACCCCTCTAGGTTGTCACAGGGCATTATGTTTTGATTGATTGATTGATTTTTAAAAGACAGACTGCTGATTGTCATGTATGGGCTTGGGCATGTTGCTTAATCTTTCTGCACCTCTGCTTTCTGTTCTGTGAGGTAGAATACAACCACTGACCTGTTAATGCTGCTAATAAGACTGAGATAGAATGCATGAACGTGTATGCAGTGGGTTTGGCTCCTTTCCCACTCTATGCCCCAAACTAATCTTAAAACCTAAGAACATGAACAGGGCCTGTTCTCAGATCAAAATCCAGTAGTGTAAGGTCCCTGTAGAGAACAACGATTACTATACTGTAATAGAGATTCTTTATCACTTTTGATGTTTGTAAAACTGTTTGTTACTGAATTAATTGTCCTAGATCTCTGCAGCTTTTTCAAATCTTATATGTATTTTTAATTTTTCTAGTATTGCTTCTGCCACATCAGTTTACCAGCTGTCACTTTCTATCAAAATCAATAAAACTTGTTCTAGCAGCCTCCCACACTTTAATTTGCTGTTTCAAATAACTTGGGAGCTGGAAAATCAGATGATCAAGCCTACTGGAATTTGGGGAGATGTAAGGGAGCAATAATTATTAAATCCCAGCTCCAGATTCAGTGCTATGCTGCATGATTTACCTAATTACATCATTCAATCATTGTAACAACCCAGGGAAGAGGAACTATGATTGCTTTTATTTTGTTGATGAGGAAACTGAGACTTTAGGAAGTAATTTGTTCAAGGACATGTATGTAGGGAGGAATAGAATCATTACCTGAGATCAGATCTTGTAATTCCTGGCTCAGTACATTTACCTTATATACCCTGAAGTGAGATATTCCCGCAGTAGATTACTAAGGGCCCCAAGCTTGTTGCACCATATTTATTTAGTTATGATTCTGTTTCACACCACTTTCCTCAAAGATCATAGGTAATTTTTATGCTATTTCACTAAACACCTTAGCAGTTTACTTCTCTGTCAATTTATACAGGGTAAAATTTAATCGTGACATATGATTACTCAATGAAATCTTATTCATCAGTAATACTAAAACAGCTAGGTTTATTGAGTAGTTACTACCTATCAGTTTCCATCCCTTTTCTTTAAATTAATTTTTATTGGACTATAGTTGCTTTACAGTGTTGTGTTACTTTCTACTGTAGATCAAATGAATCAGCTATATGTATACATATATCCCTCTTTCTTGGATTTCCTTCCCATTTTGGTCACCACAGAGCATTGAGTAGAGTTCCCTGTGCTGTGCAGTATTTCTCATTTTATACTATTTTGACCGTACTATGAATAGTGTATATGTGTTGATCCCAATCTCCCAACTCATCCCACCTCCGTTTCCCCTGTTGGTGTCCATATGTTTTTCCTTCACATTTGTGTCTCTACTTCTGCTTTCCAAATAAGATCATCTATACCATTTTCCTAGATTCCACATATATGCATTAAAATATGATATTAATATTTGTTTTTCTCTTTCTAACTTACTTCGCTCCATACACCAGTCTCTAGGTCCATCCACATCCCTACAAATGACCCAATTTTGTTCCTTTTTGTGACTGAGTAATATTCCACTGTATATTTGTACCACATCTTCTTTATCCGTTCCTCTATTGATGGATATTTAGGTTGTTGCTGTGTCCTGGCTGTTGTAAGTTGTGTTGCAATGTCCATCCCACATTCTTTACATTTACTTTACTTGGATTATCACATTCAATCTTCAGAATCACTCTGGGAAGTAAATACTGCTATTAATGTTATACCTATTTTGTAGGTGAAGCTGAGGTCACACATAGTTATTTGCCAATCAACCGGTAACCAGTGGAGCTGGGTTTCAAACCCAGCCAGCTGAAAACCAGTAGAAGACCTAAAAACAAAGATGGTACCGTTAGCATATTCTTTAGAACAGAAGAATGTTCCAAAAGTGTTACCAAATATTCACTAAAGATTCAGGTTCATTGAGAAGAAAACATTGTACCTTATGGAGTTCAGTCTTAGGAAACCAAGAGTAGTGACATAAAGTTGTGGGTAGAAACAGGGCACCAGAAAATGGAAACTACATGTTCATTTCTAGATTAATATACAGATTCTCCCCCGAGACTGTTGAATGGTAAGGCTTCTGAATTTCATTTGTAAGTCACCTAAACGTATAGCTTCCTATAGCTTTATATTGTTAACCCCCAAAATTGTTAGTGACCAAAATTCTTCCCTGTACTTTCCTTAGGGAGGAAGGATTCTGGGCCTCAGTCTGTCTGGTCTGTTTTCTTAACTCTCTGGCTGCTTCCTTCACTAATTCTACCTTTGTTTTGGTAGATGGGCTTCCTACCACCTGTATAGCGGCTCCTTTTTTTTCCTTCTTTTTTTTTTTTTTTTTTGCTTTCAAGAGCATTACATCTGTGATACATCTGTCATCTTCTCTTTTCCATTTTCTGCCTAAATCTGTGAAGACTCAAGTGCTCAACTGAAGTTGAACAACCCGCTCTACAAAGTTCATTGATTTCTTTAATTTTAGTCATCCTTCACTAACCTAAACTAGAACCTTATTATGCGGCACATCCTTAATCCCACATCTGTAAACATACTAATTATCTTTATAATTTTATTATTACCTTATCTTCACTATATTGGCTCATCTAGCTCAAAAAGCCCAGCTCTTTAATCTTTCATTTTTTCCCTCATTCCCAATCCCCAGTCACTCCTTTTAACCTCATAGTCCCAACTCATTTCTCCCTTTTTACCTTCTCCAGCCAAACAAACCACATATTCCAATTTTTTTTTCCATTCTTTAAATATCTCTCTCCCACCATTTTACATTACTTACTTTCTGGTCTTATCACTTAAACATGCTCAACAAAACTCCTTATTCTGAATTAACATAAACACCCAACTTCTTTCCTACATCCTGACTGCTAACAGAGAAAAGCCAAGAGAAGCATGACTGTGCACAGCTCCCAATTTATCATCTTCATCCTCAGCCTTTGGTAACTAACTTCTCTCTTTCTTCACAATAGCTGTTTTCTGCCCTTTCCTGCTCCCTTCAAGTCTCCAGTTCTGTCTTTGCCCTATTCACTCTCAGTAGTTACACTGCTTTCCTGTCTTAGGAAAAAAATAGAAGTTACCAGGTCTGAATAACTCATTTATCTGAATTTATTTTCCTAAGGTCTCAGAGAAAGAGGTGTCCACTCTCAAAAACCAGAGTCAGTTCTTTCATCTGTGTTGGAGACTCGTAGCTCATCTCCATCAGAATCTTACTCCACTGTTAATCTAACTTGTCAACGGCATCTTCAACCTTTTTGTAGAATTCAGGCCATGGTCTGCATAGCATCTGTGTCAGAGTCTCCACCAGCATTTTCCTGCAGATGAAATCTCTTTGGTATTGTTACTGTCCTGAGCCAAATCTTCCAAACAGGCTAAAACACCATGAGGCCAAAGCATGTGTGAGTGTTTTTGCAAGCACACCAATGCATTTGAGTGTGTGTATATGTGACAGAGAGAGAGGGAGAGAGAAAGAAAGATGAGGGAGGAGATTGGGGCCACATCTGTGTTTTCTGCTAATTCTTTTAAAATTTAAACTCAAGGCTTATTTGCAACTAGTGGCCAAACCCTTGAGTCCAGAGATCTCATTTGCATCAGAAGTATATAAAATAATAAAATTGCTATCAACATATGAGTCCCAAATGTGTAGACATTAAATAGATAAAGTGACCCATTAATTTTGCCATCAATTATACATGAAAAAATTTAATAAATCTTTTTAATGAAATGCCTTTCTAAATTAAATTTTACAAGTCTGCAACATATCTTTTCATGTTTTGTTTTTGATCACATATGTATCTATAACATAGATATACAGATTTATATCTGTATTAGAAACTGTATTATATCAATGTATTTTAGTATATAACTGTATTATATCAGTAGGGTGAAGGGTTAAATGGTAAAAAAAAAAAAAAAGCCTGCTTATGTATTACTATCAGTAAACCTACCCATGAGCACTTGTCATTTTTTTACTGAAACTTAAGTACTAATTTTGTTGTTCAGTTGCTGTCATGCCTGACTCTTTGTGACCCCATGGACTGCAGCATGTCAGGCTTCCCTGTCCTTCACTGTCTCCCAGAGTTTGCTCAAATTCATGTCCATTGAGTCAGTGATGCCATCCAACCATCTCATCTTCTATTGCCCCCTCCTCCTCTTGCCCTCAATCTTTCCCACCATCAATAGCATTAGGGAATATATGTAGTATAATGAGATTCCCTGTAAAATATTTAAGAGCTTGTATTGAACTCACCATAACCTTGTCTACCAAAAAAAGACAAATTTTCTTTCACAGCTATGAGAATGATGACTCGAGGCAGAAATTTCATAATGGAGAACCTCAAATAATTAAACATTAATAAATCCTGAAGGGCAATTCTTTAGGATGGAAAATATGTGAGTAAGATAAATACTAGTCTTAGCAACTCCACCACCCACCCCCAAATACCAATTCCTTGCCTATTTTCACTGGCTTAAGAACAAAATAGAGCCCAGAGGACATTTTTGTTTGGTCTCTATCATGTGAAATCAAGCATAAAATATAATTATTATGGGCATCACCCAAAAAAGGAACAGATATTAAGTGGAAAAATAGTCTTATTTTTAGATCAATAAAGCAAGGGAGTTTGGAGTCACAGAATAAAATAAGAAAAGAATGTTGGTGTGTGTGGGAGTGGTGTTAGGTGGATGGTGAAGGGGGGCAGGTCTTCCTTTGAAAAGAATAATATGGGATATTTGGGGATATGGGATAAAGAATATATGGGAATAAAGAATAATATGGGAATCTAAAATCATATGGGAGGCAACTTTCCAGCCGTGAGATCCCAATAGAGCTGCAACTTGAGGAAAAACAGGCAGGACTGAATAATCCCCTGAAGATGCAGTACTAGTAAAACCATGGCCTGGCCCAGGAGTGAGTTGTGAGTCAATTCAGTCTGTGTCACTTTCAAAGCAGTCACCCTATCTACTTGCTTTATGCCCCAAATCCCAGATGCATTCTCCATATCACTAGGAAATCGAAAATCCGTCCTCTTGAGGAAGGAGTGTAAAGGACAGGAAGAACTAGCTGTCAGCCTTAGAGGGTGTATAAAGCATGGACTGGATGATCAGCTCAGGGAACAGGGAGGGAGGCCCTCTAGAAACTCAGGCCCACTGAGGATCATGCCCACCCACACCCAGGCTGCTCCTGAAGTACCCGTGGTCCCAGGAAGAGGGTGATGGGCACACATATTTGAGTCAAGTAACAGAGGAGCTGCAGGGGGACAATTTATCAGGTGGCAAAGTATGATCCTGGCCATTTCATCCAAAGACATTTGCAAACACTATAACTCTCTTCTCCAGATTCTGTTTAAAAAGAAATGCTATACCCCCTTCCCACTAAATCAATTTTGGAAAAAATGATGGATAATATGCTTTTCATGCTTGCAACTCAATTCTGAGGAAGTTTTCATATAAATAGGATTTATTATTATTACAATTCTGGTTGCCCAGTTTTCTTAATAAGGTTCAGAAATTGTTCCAGGAGCACCGGGGTAAGGTGGTTATGAAAAGCTTCAGGAATACTGCAGGCTGCCTACAGAGTGGGCTTTGGAAAATATTTTCATTTCCCTCTGTCCTTTATTCATTTTCCTGACTCAAAAATGAACTTTGAAAATGACGGCATCTGTAGTACATCCATCAAAAGACCAGGTCTCAGACCATCTGTGAGACTTCTTTGTAAAATGAGATTTTGTTTGAAAACTTCTGCTTGAATGCAAAAAAAAAAAAAAAAAATCCCTGAAAAGGTTAAAACCATAGCGAGTCACATCTGGTGGCTAAAATTAGGCTTGTTCCTATTAGCAAAGGCCAGAACCCACGATGGGGAAACAGGGAGGCACCTTTGTGAAAAACATCCTAACCTTTTCATCCTGGCTGGATTCCTGAGGAGCAGCAGCCATGACGCGTCCTGCTTTCCTGTAGACCGTCTCTTCTTGTGCGCCATCTTCCTTTAATGTTTGGAAAGGCCGTTAAAAAAATTAATAATAACTGTCTAACTGAGGTTCTCCACTTAAGCATATCATTTTCACGAGATTTTAAAACAAAAAATATAATACTTGGTAATAATTCATGTCTGTTACTTTTTTTCCCCTGTCATAGCTAGAAATGAAAGTGTGTGGCAACTTCTCTGAGCCATTCCCTTTGAACAGCTGAAAACCTAAGGAAAATAACTTCAGTGCTTTCTCACGTGTGTGTGTGTATTCTTAGACATGTCAGACTCTGCGACTTCATAGACTGTAGCCCACCAGGCTCCTCTGTCCGTGGGATTCTCCAGGCAAGAATACTGGAGTGGGTTGCCATGCCATCTTCCAGGGGATCTTCTTTCCCCGCCCAGGAATGGAACCTGGGTCTCCTACATTACCAGGTCTCCTACATCATTGATGTGATGTTTTGACATATGTATACATTGGGAAATGATGACCAAGACCAAGGTAATTAACAAATCTTTTACTTCACACAGTTTCCTGTGTGTGTATGTGCATGTGTGTGTATGTATGTGACAAAGACACCTGAGATATATTCTCTTGCAAATTTCGAGTAACTATAGTCACCATGTAATACATTAGGTAGCCAGACCACATTCAACTTAGGTGAAAATTTGTGCCCTTTGACCAATATCTCCCCATTTTTCTCCAGGTGTAGTAGTGTTTGCTGAAAAATAATTTTCATCATATTACAGTCAGAAGAAAAGAAAATAAACATATCAGTAGCACATCGCTGCAAGCAGAAAATATCTCCAGGGAAGCAATCTATCTGCAGCTTTGATACAGGAGGAAAGCCAATGGTATTTATTTCATCAAGACATCTTTATAAAAATGGAAAAATTCAGCATGTGAATCATGGCAGCCTCTCCCAAATAATCAAAATATTCTGTGAGCCAGAGTTAACCAGAGAGGGATTGCTAATCAAACAGCCCTTCTTCTCTTATGTTCTAAATTGGAGTAAGTTTCAACCACCTGAAATGCTTTTTTTTTTCCCAGCAGTGCTCTCTTTTTTTGAGCTGAAGAAATACAATTGCTGCCACAGTCTCTTTAGAGTATTAAAATCAGCCTTGGTTTATGGTTTCTGTGGTAATAGCAATTCCTTTTAGTTAAATTATCTTAGAGATCATAACATGGAAACCTTTTAACAAAATGAATCAGGATGTTTTGTTTTTTTCAAATGTTGGATACATGCCCCTGTCTCCTTCTTCTCTCTAAAATGACAACGATAACAGGAAGCAGAAGTGTGAATTCACACTTCAATAAAATTGGAGACATTGGTAACAGGCACTATTAATACATTGTATGTAGAAAAACTGCCAAATGTAGTGAAGGTCAAATAAAGATGAGGGAAGATGCTGAGAAAGCATGCCTGAAGCTAGAATTTCAAGCAATGGGGCAGAACATAGTTCTTCAAAGCAGGTTTTATGAATTTAACCTACTGATCAGAGTGAATGTCAACCATAATGGTGAAGGTCGACATCATGGGCCTCCTGAGAAAGGCACAACATCTCTCATTCCTGTTCTTTCTCCCTAAAAAGCACTGCCTAAAATGAATAATGAGGAAACAATGACACAATTGAAACCAAGGGTGTTATGGACATCCAAAAGCAATGAACTTGACCCTCACCTAAAATTTAGATCCCGCATTGAGACTGAGGATCACACACAAGTGCGAGCGCGCGCGCGCACACACACACACACACACACACACACACACACAATGAAAGGCAGAGGCTTATTTCTCACATAATGAAGTTTTCTTGGTTAAGTGGAATGGATTCCAAAGACATCCAAAAACAGCTTAAAAGAGAACAGGAGACTGATTTGGCGATGTTACTGTGATTAGGATCTGGGGCCAGGGAAGATGGTTCCTCACCCATATGTGGGTGGTAACTTGCCTGGTTTGAACCTCCAAAAGGAGAAATCTAGGTTTTTATACCAGCTTTTCCAGATGTGAAGCAGGAAGGGAAGAAGTAGAGAGACTGAACAGTGGTCAACAAACACTAAAAAACAGATTACGAAGGGGTGTTTTGCATAAGAATTGGCCCATGCTCTTCTAAAATGTCAATAAAAAGAGGTAAAAGCATACAAAACTGTTTCATATAAAAGAATAATCTTTTTTAGAGGCATGACAGCTAGATGCAACATGTGATCTTGGATTGGAAACTGGGTCAGAAAAAAATGCCCTAAAATGCATTATTGGGATGGCTGATAATTGTGAAAGTGAATGATATAGTTATTTTGTATCAAAGTTAATTTCATGAATTTAATGATTGTTATACATGATTTTCTAATGTAATTTATGTTCTGAGGATATACATAAATTATTTGAGTGAAGAATCTTGAAGTTTGCAACTGTTTCAGTAAATAATATTTATATATTTATACAGTGTGCATTGTAAGTGTGTGTATACTTAGAGAGAGAAAGAAAGCAAATGCACCAAATGTTATCAAGCAGTGAACCTAGGTGAAGAGTGTGTGCACTTGACCTTCTTATAAATTTTTGTTTCTTCAAATTTTTTTCCAAAATGAAAAATGAAGTGAAGGAGGTCGTGTGAAACCTCTTTACTGGAAACAAGAAACACGATGTATGGACTTACAGATGGAAGTTTGTTAGGCCCTTTGTGACATTCTTTCCTGATTTAAAAAATTGGGTGAATAAAGATCCACACTGGGCACCACCACTGCAGGACGGATGATTGAGAGTAAGTTCAGAGCTATGACATCTTGTGGGCTGTGGAGAAAACAAAACCACTCACGCTGTCACTCTGGGTTATACCAAAGAACTTTCTCCATAACAGAAAGAAAATCTACTAACCTGGAACACACTTCAGGCAGTCAACACAAAGACACCAGCATATTACCCATACAAAGGCCCAATAAACAATGTTCTGAGGAGTCTCTGTACTGTGGAGTGCAAATCTGAAGTGTTTATTTTTCTTCAATCAACTGCCTTCAGCCCCACTATGTCAAACTCCCTTTCTAGTTCCTTAAAGATACCTTTGGGAGATTTCATAAATTTTCACTTATAGTTCTAGTCATTAACACTTTAGTCTAATATTATTTCAGGCAGACAGTCACCTGAAAGCTCTTTTCCCTCCCACTCAAAGTATACTACATGTAAGCTTTAAGGACCTGCAATGAGAAGCTTAAGAACAAGAGACTCACCACTCCTCTCTCTCTCTCTCTCTCTCTCTCTCTCTTCTGGGTCCAACTATTCCACTAGTAGGAACAGACAGAAGGGAAGGGGGAAAGGCACTTATGCTTTATTTTGGGGACACAGATGTAATCTTCAGTTCTTTGCCGTGAGTGTTTCTGAGCTCATACTGAGTTGCTTTACGTATCTCCTGTGCCTCATGGGTCTAAGTGCTAGCTCACCCACGATAAGTCACACAAGGCTCACATGTGACTTTGGCTGAACTTCTACTAGTTCCTTTCCATAACATGATATATGTGGCAGCATCTTGCTGGCTAACCCAAAGACAGCTATCTGAGAGGAATGATCGTAGCCACACAACTCAAACTCAGCTACCTCCCAGAGTGCCCTGGATACGATGGATATTTTGCCTCCTTGACACTTCTAGGGGAGATTGAGAGAAAACAATCAGCTCTGCCAATTAATCCTTCCTTCTACTCGTCCATCTTCCTTTGTTGTCTAAGACAAAGGCCAACCAGGAAAGGGAAGGTTAGACTTCCCTATCATGATCTCTTTTAATATTTCCCTAGAACTTGACTTTGAGTTGGATTATGAAATATAATAACTTCCTACTGCCAGTAGAATCTGGGGACACCCTAGGATGATTTTTCTTTTCAATTCTATCTTCTCCTCCTTCCTCTAATCACAGGAAAAAGATACATAAACTATGTATAACTAAAATTGAGAAAGAAAGAAGAAAAGACTGTGTGGAAGAGGGTGTAAGTATTATGTCTTCCTCATTATGAAGAACCTGGGAGAACAAGAATTTCAAACTGTTAATCAGGAATAAAGATATGAGAAAAAAAGAATAGAGATCTGAGCATATATAAAAGTAAAAATGACAAATACCAAGAAAATGGCAAAAAATGTAATACAAAAATAATACTAAACATCATCTAATGGAAGGAGAGAGAAGAGAAGAAAGCAATTAAAATGTACTTATTTATCAGTATTGACAGTGGCTACAGAAGTAGAAGTTTAAATACGTGAGGTTATAAAGTAGCATCTAAAGTATAATAAAAACATAAACATTCTAAATTACAAGCAGGAATGTAACAGGTAAAGCAGACCATACCATGTGTAGTTAAATAAGAACAACGGAAGAAACAGTAAAGACAAATAATTTAGCATAATATAAAAAGACTAACTGAAACATAAGTATATCATATCAATTAACGCAAATGGGCTAAAACCTTCCCTGGTGAATATTAAAGCGCAAACCAATTGTTTTTTTATGTTTACAGATCTTCAGCCTCTAAATCAAAAGAAATTCACAAAAGCTGAAAATAAGAGGATGAGCAAAAAACCAACCAAAACAGGCAAATATAAGCACAAGTAAAACAAGAGTTAAGGTCTTGATGTTAGACAAAATTGATAAAGTCATTTTATAATGACAAAATTAGTCTATAATGAAAATCAAATAATTATAAAACTTTTTTCCAAATAAATTAACATAAAACAGTTTCAGCCATAATTATGAGTACAATATAAAATGCTAGTTATACTAAACTCTGCTACTCTTTTCTGTATTCATTAAAAGCATTGTTCAAAGAAACACAGAAAAACTCATAAATACACACCTTAATTCACCAGAAAGAATGAAAATCCATTAATTCTTGCACCAAAGAAGTTCAAAAAAGACTTTGGGAGTATAAAAAAAGGTTAAGAAGAGTGGAAGGAAAATTACTAATAATAAAGACAACAAGAGAAACCTATCAAGCAGAAAGAATGGTGCATGCACGTCTGCTAAGTTTCTTCATTTGT